CAGAGATTCCTTATTTTAAAAAAAATATTTGGGAGGTGGGAGCAGGGAGTTGTTATAGTGGTGGGAGGGAACACGACTCCCTCCCAAACCCTCTTCACAGGCATACAAGCTCTAGCCCCTCTGTCGGACAGCTTAGCCTCCCCCACCCTCTAGAAAATGTATCCTAGAGCCGCCACTGGGTCTAGGCATTCCCTCGGCCTCCAATCAAGGCTTGGGCACTACCAAAGGCTTTCTTAATTTCAAGATAGCTCCCACCTCCACTTTTAACCACGGGTCGACGCCCTTGATTATGCTTGCTTTATTATCGATGAAACAGTGTTTTACACTTTAAAATAATAATTTAATTGTTTCAGTTGTAGTTTAACTTAATCGATGGAATATGCAGACAGTAACGTTAACATTGTCATTAGACGTGTAGCCTTAAATATAGCCCTCAAATCTTGACCACAGTAAATACCACATAAAAGAATCATCACGTTGTACCTCTATTATTTTCTCTTTTTCTATGAACTTGAATTGTTTGACAATAATGGCAAATAATAATTATCTCAGCCTCTAATTATTTTTATAAATGATTATCAATTTGTTAAATTGTTTGCGGCATATGTGCTGTTCTTTAAGTAGGCCTACACTATAATAATTTTTTTTAAATTTTTTTATTATTCTTATTTCATCTTCATTTTTACTTTTAAATTTTGATGTATTTAAAATGTTTCATTTCGATTAATGTTTTCGATGTTCTTGTAATAAAAAAAATGCATTTACAATTTAATAGCACTTTCCTATGTTTTAATATATTTAACTTTAATTTTTTTTTTTTTTTGTTAAAAATTTCTTCTTTCATTTTTTTTTGTAAATATCGTACGATTTCGATTTGTTTTGAATAAAGTAATAATTAATTGTAAGTATTTTATTTCTTACTTACTTACTTAGGGAGGGACGTACCAGGACTTATTTGACTAGCATCCTCCATTCGTCTCTATCAAGCCATTACCAATGGGAGCAGTGGCGGCTCTAGGATATTTTATGGGGGAAGAGTTTCGGAAATTTGAGATAAATATAATCATACTGATTTTCTGTGCCGTTTCATATTCGTTGCTGCTCTAAGTATGTGTGAATGGCAGCTATTAAAATTCGTTTTTCAAGAGTCTTTATTACTGTCTAGCCTTTCGAACCATATCGGACTAGAACTGTTTCAACTGCGCCTCTGAATAGTTGTAAATTGATGGCACTGTTTACCGGACTTCCATGCTATACATTCTTTTTGTTGAGTGCAGCCCATGCTTTTCCTTCTTATTTCAAAATCTCTAATGTTAGTGTTTATGAAGCTGCTAAGATATTGGAAGTCGTTAACTTGCTCTTTCTTTTCTACTTGAAGTTTTATTTCGAAACTTATTTTGCCATTCAACATAATCAAATATTTGTGTTATCGCTTTAACATTAGATACTAAAACGAACAATGAACCGCAAACACATTGAATCTACATTCAAGCTAATAAGAATTTTATTAAACATTAATATTCATTTTCTTAATCATTGTGGAATTTCTAAAAATGAATAGTACCACGTTTCATAGGATGATTAGGCTTATCATCACCACCATCTATCACCACTAGGCCTATACAACACCACACCTGAGGTCATATACAACAACCACCACCACCACCACTATCTTAACTACAGTAATATGTTTTACTACCATAATATTCAAGATCTAATGTAAAAGAATGCATACAGACATGATATATGCCTATGTATTTTAGTATGTAATTGGCGATATCTTCAACAAATTATTAAACCATTTTAGACAAACTATCAAACCATCATTGACGGCTAAAAATACACTGCAATTACTTTTTTTTTTTAAATAGGTCTATTTTTAAAATGTCCTCTACGTGACACTAATTTAATCAGTCAACCAAATGTCAAACATAAAAGTGTAATACAGGACAAAAGGTCTACACAATGGCGGGAATTACAGAGGTTATGACGACACTATTGACTGTTGAAATTGTACGCCTACTTCGAAATTAAAAAGTAAAGCCATGACGAAGGGATTATAAATGATAAATGGGGGAAACAGAGATTTTTATATTTTTGGTCATCTTATATGCATACTGTATATTTAAATACAATGGGATGTCACTTTATGCAATCATTATTTTTATTTGTTCAGATGCTATTATAATATTGTAGTTAATACACATGTAGAAAATACTTGCTCGTTGATTATCTCAATGTCTACAGAACAATAAAGTAAGTACAGTAAGTTGAATCTGAATTCCATCTATTTACATGCTACTTGGACATAGATATTATATCGTATGTTTTATATCGATGTTTGCCTAGACTAATACAAATTTAGAACAGAATTTACGGCAAGACATAATGCATAGCATCCCCGCCATTTGGAATAGTATAAGTAGGCTAAAATGTAACACATCGACATTGCAATCCACACAATATAACTCAGAATTCTATAATAGGCCTACATACTACAATAAAGCATAAAGCTAAAGCATCTATAAAGTGTATCTATAAACAATTTAAATTCACTACATACAATAATAAAAAAGATAAATGTATCGCTTCTTAATAGACCGAATTAGTCACCAAAACAAAGTTACTTTAGTGGGTATAACATCAACACAAGCCGCTAGGTGACAGTGTTTACAAACAATAATAAGCCTCCACTCTAATAAATTTTACTGTTTTCAAACTCTTCAAAATTGTTTATTTGTACATTTTATCGTAAACAAACTTATCGAAAAGCTTTGATAAATATTCCTTATAAATAAACGTCCAAAGTTGTTCATACCCACTAAAGGAAATCGCGATGACGTCAACTTCGATGACTAATTCGGTCTATTTTCGTTTTCAGGATTATAATAATATATGAATAATTATCTAACATGGAATAATAATTAACTATCATTTCGAAAAAAACACCAAAAAAACAGAACAAATATGTATTCTTAACCCCATAGTCCTCAACTTGGTTAACGTTTATATATAGTACTGTACAAGAATATATGCCCGCGCATTAATATGTATTATAATTAACTTATCAGTAACAGTTGTGATTAAGTCATAATGTATATGTTTTCGTTATCAGATATAAGTGATTATTTAAAATGGAACAATAATTCACTCTCGTTTCTAAAAAAAGAAAAAGAAAAAAAAAACAAAAAACAAAACAGTTATGTATTTTTTACCTCATAGTCCACAATCTGGTCAACATTTACATGATAATAATAAAAGAAGTTTGTCAGTAGTATTCAAGTATAGTGTGATACAATAAAAAGAAGTGACAGATACCGACTAACTGTACATAGTGCAAATGTATATTTCTATGGTGGATTTTTTTCTAATAATTTGCAAAAAATAACTACATTTTATTGATGAAAGCATTTCCAGTAATAATATTATATTTACACATACACACTTAGTCACTGGTAAATAGAAATGCATTATACACGTAGCCATCATTAACAATATTAATAAAGGAAACAGAGTAATTACACGTGATTTCCACTAACAATATTATCAGATAAAGTACAGTAGGCCTAATTAAAACAGAACATTATAATACCATCGTGGCCACTATTAACAAATTACCAGATAACTAAGACAGAGTATTATATACATGGTCACGATTAACAATTATTATTACAAAGTAAAGTGCGTTAAAACAGCATTAAGCCTACATGGCTAGTTACCATTAACAATTTTACCAAACATAATTTAAAACAGAGCAATAGTCGTGGCCACCATTAACAATATTACCAAAAAGTACACGTGGCCACCATTAACAATCAGAGTGGTGCCAGGATTGCCCGACGGTGAGGAATCGATGTCCCCGACGGGGGAAGAAACGTGTCACAATCAACGTGAACGATGACGTCCCTACTATTACCAGATAAATAACATTTAACAGAGCATTTTACGTGGTCAACATAAACAGTATTACGTAACAGAATGATAAAGTACTTTAAAAATTGTATTCGGCCACCATTAACACTATATTAGATAAAGTACATCAACATTCTATTAACCTATTCATCACACATATCAATGTACTGTACGTAATCTATACAGACACTATCCCATTTATCACATTTGACTACGTAACTAATGGGTTTTAAACATTCTTAATTTTGATTTGTTTTTCATTGTGCTAATTGACCAATTATTTGTTTCACCACATATCATTGTTTTACAATCAATTGTGAGCTGTTTTCACAAAATGAGTCTTGTGTTACAACACATGAAAAAGGAGTTACTAAATTATTCAGATAGCAGGCATTAAAAGGTTTATTTTAATCTTAAAATCATCAAGTTCTCTTCTTGAAAACAACCACAGCAACATCATATTTAAATTCATATACTGTATCTCATATACTTTAGAAAAAATCTATTCTAACGATAAACAACTGATAAATTTGCATTGGATTTCCTATCAAGTCTAAAAAAAGAGCTTAACAATTACAGTGTCTTATAAAGCAACTTAATATAATCAACATTTGCTATCACAAAATATATATTAAACTTCTCAAAACACTAAAAGCCATTTACTTTTTTGATTATATCAAACTGACCAGACATACAACAAGGCTTTTTTGACAGGTTGATAAATTAAATTTCAATTTACAACGAGTGTATTATGAGTTTTATATTCGTATAGGCCTATATAATAATTTTGATTGTTTTGCACGTTACTATTTTTAGTGCTTTTTATAGATTATATGTGTTAATCATGTCGTCCTTTGCTGTTTCCCAGCTAATTTCCGTCCATCCATATGGAATATCCGCTGGCTGACAATTATAGTATTCAGCAATTTCTTCATTGTAAGTTGCCATAAACCATTTCCAGTACAATTGCGAATCACTTGCTATCGGCTGGATCTTCCAGGCTTTGTAGTATTTATTAACACTTTGATAGTCTTTGTAGGGATGGTATTTGCAATCAGTGTCTTTATTTTTGAACCTAGCGTCTGTCATTACAGATGAAGTGCATACGTTGACACAAAGTTTGCCTGTGTCCACCCTACGATACCCAGCAACTCCTTGTGGCCGATGGTACTCTGTACGATGGTCATCATATTTGTCACCAGCCTTTTGCCAGTACTCTGTACACCTAATACAGACAGCACGAACAACCGTTTATTGCCCATTTTGTTTTTAAGGCACGACATTACATCTTTTATCCATTTAATAGGAACATGCGACGCATCACCATCCATTAATTCCAACGGATGTCCTTCAAGTAACATATCGGCGGCAACCATTGGAAATCGCTGAACAGAATACGATGAAGTTGGCAACTTGAAATGCAATACCATTTCGTAGATTTGTGCAATTTCTCTATTAAAATGTTCCAAACCTACAGAGAGATTTGTAAGTTTCCGCTGAAGTTCATCAAGGATTTTTCTTGAGGATTCTATTTCTGTAGTTGGCTTATTTTGGTTTTTGTATACAGCATTACATAATTGGTTCCATTTGGCATTGTACTCCTCGCGTACTGGCTGCAATTGATTGATACTACACTGATCCGCCATTATTTTAACCCAGCAATAGAAATATTTTCGGTTTAGCGGTGGATATGAAAAAGATTTCATGAATATTTTTATCAGGTTTGAAAAACAGCTACAATCATATTTTTGCTTGATTCGTAACCGATTGAGGTCTGATTGTACTTTGTCAATATATTGTTCAGTTGCCATATTTCCTTTCTGTTTTAATTGGCATAGTTCTCTGTTTCTTTCAGCAATTTCGATTGCAATCATTTGCAGAGGTAACAGTTTTATTTTTTCTTCAGCATTATCACTGTCGCCTGTTTGATGTTGTAAACTTGTCAACATTTCTTCAGCGTCTGCTTTCGCATCTAAACATTCTTTTGTGTCCTCATCAACGTAAAAACCAATGTTTTTCCATACAGCGCTACACTTCTCTATACTCCGTTTAGGTACGCCACAACGTTCTTTCGAAAGGAGATAATTAAGAGTACTTCTTATTTCTCCACTCATTTGTAACTCATTTTTTTCCGAAGAATATATCAATACTGATTGTTTTGGCGGATCCTCACCTTTAGAATACCGTTGCTCCAAAGACAGAAGTAACTTTGTCATATCTTTCCCAGGGGGGCCTACCGACACAATAACTAAGTAGCCATTTTGCTGGTACAACAACTCAAGTAAATCGGATCCATATTTATCAAGCATGTCAGGGGTGATGAATGCAATGGTTGCAAATGACACCTCACTTAAAAAGGCTGTCTGATCTTTAAGATGCGATGCATTTCCTCGTAAATTCATAATTGCTAGAGCATCAGCAAATTTATCCCGATTTCTACCAGTTGGAAGGTACCATGTCAATTCTAATAAGCCGGTTGATATAGTTCTTTCAATATTACCACCATTACTTCCGTAGTGAAAGAAAACGTCATGTTTTTGATCGTTGATAACAGCGTTGAGCATCTTGGATTTTGATTTGGAAAGCCTACCAATGCGCAGTGCAGACACGATTGGAATTGGATGCAAAGACATTGATCTCTCACACGATGTTCCGGAGTAAGTTTTCCATTGTTTCTTGATAGTTCTTGTCGCCCAAAGAAGCATTTCACAACTGTGGGAACCATCAACAATTAATGGAAGAAGTAAAGGAATACTTAACTGACACATTGTTAGTTTCTCCATGATTAATTGCCTTAAGAAGTCATCGGCACACATAAAAAGAGCAACCAGTACATCAGCAGGATTAAATTGAATGCCTGCTGTGCTATTTCCTTTGTTTACTGTTGCGGGTGTATTCAGTAGTGCTGAAAATGTCTTTCCACCGGAATAATTCATAGACGTCTGATTAGGTTCCAAAAAAAGTCCATCGTAGTTACACAGGATAATGCTTTGCAACAAGTACCATGGAATGTTGCTAATGTGTTGAAGATCATCGCGTAAAATTACATTTTCAGAAACCATAAGGGCTTTTTGGCGGGTTATTTTCTTGGGGAAATGCCGTTCTAAATTTAACACTTTAATGATATCAGGGCATTGAGGCTTTAATTCATATATATTTGGAATGTTATTTCTTGATCCATATATCTCTTTGTCGCAATGCATGGCTTTGAACAATGAACTGCGCAGGCTCAGGTCTTGATCGTGGCTATTTATTTGTCCATAATATTGTTGAATATAAAATTCAATTTTCATCCAGTTATCAGGATCTTCGTTTTCCAAAGAATCTATTGTGTCTCTGATCTCTCTTGGTAGGTCCTGTGTTGATTTTTTAAGTTTGTGTTTCAGGTTATAGCAGTCGCCAGTTAGCATTGTCGATTCTAAAAGCGTAGAGAAGATAAAAACTGATTTTCTTTCCTCGTCGTTCATATTTGTATATGTCGAAACGTTGTTTTTGACCGTAAGTACAAGGTTGCTAATGTCTTGGATAGTCAATTTTGTATGCAGGAATCCTGTTGTTTCACTAAACCCCAGTGGTGTCGTCAGGGCCAAAAGAAACTTAGCATCTGATAGCCGATTCTGACGTTGGAATACATTGACAAGTCGAATCACTGCTGTCGACAGATACGCTGCGACGTTTGACGATGTGTGCTGCCTTTGGTCTTCAAGATCCATTATAGCTTTTTCCAAAAGTAGAGTGAAGTCGCTGAACTCTGAAATTTCTTGGTTGTTTCTACCATTTCTCTCCTCTTTTACTTTTTCTAAAATGTGTAGCCAATTACGATATTCATTAAGTTTGTCATTTGATACACACGGTTGGTTTAACATATCGTTGTCGTTAATAACCTTAAAAACCATTGCAAGTGTATCATGTATAGGGGAATTCATTAAACGTTTTAGAACATTTAAAATGTCAAAAGCTTTGCTTCCAAGGAAAATATCAGACCATGCTCTGATACTTCTTGTATGCTTGATAACATTTTCTTTTATTTTCAGTAGATTTTCAAGAATTGAGCGTTGGCCATCTGTCACATCAATATTTTCTAAAGATGTTACGTATGTACGGGCCTCGTTTATCAGATATTGTAATTCAGATGAAATATTAAAGATATGATGCACATTTGACATATCCACCCAAGCTTTGAAAAGATAATAACTTATAGTTGAAGCATTCTCAATATGTGATGAATAGTTTTCGTTTAGAATTTCCCAAATCGCAACAGTAAAACCCGTTCCTCGATCAATGACATTCCATGATGAAATATCTGCTGACATTCCCAATTTCCATGTTGGCAAATAAGAGAATGTTTTATGACCACCGGAAGTTACAGCCTTTATTACTGAACATTTAGAGTTACGGGTCTTGTATTCTATTCTAATTTTCCCTTTTTCTTTTTTAGCATCATACTCAGAACTAAGACCAAATCTGCCTAATGGAGCCTTATCGAATGCTGCTATAGATTCAAGATTGATGGCCTGTGTATCAACATCCCCACGAGCGACTACTGTTGAACCTGTTGCAGTTATCCAATGAACTCCACCGAAATGAAAAGGCCCTTGAAAAATATGAGATCCATAAATGTTTAGAAACTCTTTACAGCACTCCATCCCTCTGATTTCGTCAACGTCTATCATTGTACCGATTCTTTTCAGATGTTCTAGAGCACTATCACTAAACCTCAGCTCGTCTCTTCTAAATGTGAATGACGCAATTGGATTTTTTTTCATCCTTGCAGTCGATTTATTGCCGTTACTAGACGGTAGATTAACATATTCTGAAACACATCCATATTTATCTGTATGTTCAATAAACGATTTCACGTGCTCATCGTCTCCATCGATAATCACCTCCGTTATAGATAAATTTGAACCATTGAGACGAACCGTTGAGGGAGCTTTTAAAACTGGATAGTTGGCAGAAAAAATGTAATTTCCATTTCCAGTGTAAAGAACGCCTTTCAAACAAACTCCACAAGAAGATGATTGAATAAGATGGGAGGGCAGCAGATCTTGTGTAGGTATAGGTGCCTCTAAAAAGCAGCTCAATTTGGACAAATCATTTAGTACTTCTTCAAGTGAGGTGTTCGGCCGTATCCAGTTTGCTGATGTTAGCAGAAGGATTTCTCTGAATGATTGTTCTTTGGCGTGAACACTTTTACAAGATCTTGTTTTGCCATTTGAAAGTAATGACTTGATTTGCTTAATACCATCCATAATTAATCTAATACGGTTTTGTACTTTAACAAAATGCAATGCAAATGAAGGATACTCATTATCTATTCCAAAAAGATTTTGGAGTTTCATCAATTCATTTCTTGTTTGACAAACATGTTTTAAATCATTCAAGCTATCCAGTCCGATATGTTTAACTGAATCCATGTTTGACACTGCAAATTTAGTCTTCAGTATGCTAAGCCAATGGCGTTCATCCAATCCTAACTCTTTGAGCCTCACGCATAAATTATTTTCTGATTCTGTGATTGATTGTTCTTCATCTTGAGTAATATCAAACAGTTCATGCAGCCCACTTATTTCGTATTTGTCTGCACGTTCAATTACCTTTCGGATTGCTTCATGATTCTGTGCAATAGCTTTTAATTGTAAAATGTCATTCACGCCTAACACTTCCCTCAATATTTTTGTCCACTTGACTGCATCTAGGCCAACATCTTGTATCAAACATTGAAGTTCACTGAGGCGCCAAAATGACACAGCATTCACAGCATACTCAAGTACATTGTACAGCATAGACAGTATATGCCCCATCTGTATGGGCAAACATAAGTATATTTAATATAAAATATTAATTTACTATATATAATTATTTATTGGTCTACCTTTACCGCAGACAATCAACAAATGATAAAACAAGTAAGTAAGGATATGCCCACCATAAAAACAGAAATACATTTGAAATTGTCAGAGCATGAATAAATAAAAGAATTATCATTAAACATTAGTTAAAAACATACCTAGATAAAAACATAATTGAGCGCAAATTTAAAATAAAGTTATTCAGCTTTACGAAAAGTTGTAATTTATTATAAATAAATCAGATATTCTGTCATACTAGATATATGCTTGGTATAGCAATCATTTTATTGGTAAATTATATCACTCAAAATAGTTAGTTATGATTGGATAGAAAATGTTGATAGTAGATGGAAACCGATAAGTGCAGTTGTTTTTAATCGAATGCAAAAGAAATAGCGAAAAGATGTCCGGCGGGGGACAATATGTAGTTTAGGCTTAACATATAACATTTCAGATTTTCAGCCCCGAAATCACTAAAAAATATCGGGATGGCGTCCGGTGGGGGACATACATATACATATACATATATACATATGTGTATATATATAAGATGAAACATAAAGCAAGTTGTAGTCATTTTTAGAACTCTGTTATTACTCTGAATTCAGGAAAAAGTAAAAAAAAAAAAAAAAAAAAAAAAAAAAAAAAAAAGAGAAAGAAAAAAAATTTAAAAAAAAAAAAATTTTTAATATTCATTTAAAAAAAAAAAAAAAAAATAAAAAAAAAAAAAAAAAAAATAAAAAACACAAAAAAAAAAAAAAAAAAACAATAAGCAAAATTGGTAGCAATATAGCCTATAATGTGTTAGTGAATTGTAAATAGCCTATCATCTGTCTCTTATACACATCTAGATGTGTATAAGAGACAGATATCATGTACTTTGTCACTATTTATTTTATTAACTCCAGTCCCAAAACCTTGAAAAACACCGAGGTGGGGGGGGGGGGAATATATTTTTCTGTAATTAAATTATATTACATTATATTTCATTTATTAAATTTTGACTCAGGGCCAATGCTATTTCAATGCAAGCATTATGTTTACAAATGGCAATGAAAGAATACTGAATACCGACTTATATATCATATACCAACTAAGCAAGGCGAGTAGCAATTCTCTGAAAAAATAGTATAGCTTTTTATAAATTAATCACAATCTAACTTCTATTTTCCAATCTCTCTAATATTTGAGTATAATCTGTTAATTTTCCAAATAGTATTATTAATTTAAGAAAAATTTAGAATGTATCATACTCTTAAACTTCAACAGTTGTGATTAAAAACCGAAAACGGGTGTTCAGGCCTTATCAGCCACAGAATGATGAAAGATAGTCTAACATTGTTGGTTTCGATCGATACCCATAAAGGAAAAAAGAAACCAAAGGGCAACTGAAACAATGAAAAGTTTAAAGTCACACTTTACTGTATTTTTCATTTTTTTTTTTTTTTTTTTTTGTGATTTTTGACGTTTGATTACTTTTCTTTTCCTTTTTTTAAATCATATTTGTAGAGGGTGATCCTTCCAGCGTATCCTAAAAGATTGGCTGATATTCAGTGCCCTTTTAAATAAATGAAAGAATGTGATGCTTTTTATGAGCCTTATGGAGTTGAGTTGCAGGAACTGAACACAGGACCCTGGATTAGAAGACAAGCATCTTAGCCACTCCAATGTCCGTTAATAGCGCAAATTCTCACAACCCTATGTCCAGCAATACCAATACCAAATTGATGTAGGCTTACAGTGCCCATTGCGTCTGCAGCTAAAGAAGGAATTTTTCTCAGTACGATTACATTTGGAACAGCATTTATTAGTCTAACTGGCATCAAGTGGTTGGAACTTTAAGCCCTCTTCGTTGCATCGATGTACTTGTCCATGACAATTCACTTTTGTAGATAAGTTTAACTACTAAATGTAATGGCGTAATTATGGATAGGAGCTGATGAATAATGAAATAAAATTACTTTCAAGAATTGTTCGCTGAGAGCTTACATATGTAGAAGGCCTTCATTTAGGCCACCGTGAAAAAAACGGGATGGGCGTGAGATAACGCGGGGGGGGGGGCGGAATGGGCAAAAACGTGACAGGCCGTGATTGCAGATTTTTAAACTGGCCACCGGGAACACATAATGTAAACCTAGCATAAGAGGCCATGTCCAATATATTCGTTATTAATCAGATGACATATTGAATTGTTTCAATTGATTCACTGACCAATAAATCCTAGATTAACCACAGAAAACGTGATTCATGTTCAATTTGTAGAATTTTAAAGATAGGCTTATGGGTGCCATCTTGATGTGAAGTGGTTTGGCGCAGTGGGAACGGTCTGGTTACCCAATTTCGAGGTCGGGGATCAATTCCCTTGCTGTGCATTCCACTTGTATCTTTGAACAAGACACTTTATCTACATTGCTTCTCTCAACCCAGGAGTATAAGTGGGTAGGCCTACCTGGTAGGGTTAAATGCCAAAATGCGCTGATGTAGCTGCTGCATTGTTTTGGCATACTCCCCCAGGGAGCTTGAGTTTGTGTCCATAGGCGTTTAATCCCACTGACCGGGGTATTTATGTGAAGCGCTTAGAAGCCTTGTTGGCATTATACGCTATATAAGTCTAACATCATATTATTATTATTGTTATTGTTATTGTTATTATTATTATTATTATTATTATTATTATCTTTGAAACACAATGTTGAATTTATTTGTTGTTGAACAGATGACATTTTGAATTGTCTTTTGTGATTCATTGTCATATAAATAATAAATTAACACCTCCTAAAACGCAATTACAGTACAATTTTGTAGATATTGATACATATGGTCAAAACATTTTGGCGGCTATCTTGGAAAAAAAAAATCATTTTCCGGTGGTTGGATTTAGTAAGACATTTATCTGTAATTCGTACATCGATTAGGCCGCTAGTACCAAAATCCGTTGAAAAAACTTTTGTTGCAATGTTTTGGGGTTACCGTTTTTTCATGCTGCAAAGTAGTAGCATGTTGGCTTGGAATTTCCAATTGGCTTTTTGCAATTTTTGATATATTTTAATGTTAAGCGCATCGAGGCTCTGGAACATTTTGAAGCAGTGGTGGCGCCAGCGGGTGGCGGGACAGGGAGTACATTAACCAATGTGTGTTTAGGTCGTCCTCTGTTTCCTTTTACTTTTCTTAGTTGTTCATCTGGTTCGATTTTTGCTGGTATGTTTTCTGGTAGTCTAAGTAGATAATACAGTCATTTGTGTCTCCTCCTTTTTATTGTTTTGGTTAATAATTCATTTTCTTTGGTCTTCATGTGTTCAATTGTTATTCTGTCTTTTAGTTTGATGTTTAGTGTTATTCTGAATGTGTTTATTCTTGAAGGCGTTTGTCTATGGTTTAAGATGTGTTCATATTTTTTGAAAGCGGTTCTATCCTACCATCTCAAATGATGTGCACCTGTCAGTGGCGTCCTATTTTACACAAACATGGTATTCATATTATCTATACACTATAGACTATCCACGCAATGGTGAATAATGAAACTGAATAAAAATAAATACTGTAAAGACCTGGTATTCAACCTTTTTAAGCTGGGGGGGGGGCAGTTTCAATCTATTGAGACCACCGGCTGGACAACATAATTTTTAAAATTTTTTTTAATGTCAGCTTCACCCACTTTATAGTCTTACAAGTCTCCCTAATATGCCTATTATTAGCCTTGGTTTTTTGACATCATCTAAGATAAGCCTTGTTTTCAACGCAGTTGGCATAGGGAGAATACAATTCTCCTACCCTTCAACCACTAGAAATTTAAAAAAAAAATACCCTAATGTACTAAAGCTGAAAAAAGATGTCAGCGCCAGAAAGTTCCCGACGAGGAGTCAGATTCCCTTTCCTTTTTTTTACCTCAACTCAACCATGGTTGGGGCTGAGGTGAGCAATTTTTTTTAAATAAACACCTGTAGATTCCCGGAAATGGCACATTCAGACTGTAAAGACACATCAAAGGGTCTTTGGTCCGAAGGTCCATTGGTCTGAAGGCCCGTTGGTCTGAATTAGTGACCTTTTTCCCAGGAATGCAGGTTATACGGCAGTAAAACAATTCCTTTCAATTTATGGAGTAAATTAAGAAACATCACTTTTCTAAAACAATATTCCCAACAATTTTCTCTAACATGTAAAAAAAAAAAAAAAAAACTAGTTTCTTGTCACCTCCCGCATCCATTTCGCTGCCTCACCATTTAAAAAAAATATATATTTCCTTTATTTTGCGAAATGTACACAAATCTTGCTAACTCACATCAGTAAAATTCCTCTCTCGATCGTGGATAGTGAGATATTCCCAGTGAGAATTTCAGCTGAACTATTACCAGTAGTATTATGAATTAAAACTCAATGTGCTATGATACGAATCATATATAGTGCTTCTTTTATTTGCTTTTAATGTGCAGTGGCTGCACTACAGAGGGCACAGGGGTGGGGAAAAATTCCCCCTGGAAAATTTGTTTCTCCCCCAGTTTACCCCCACCCCCGAAAGAAAGGGTAAAAAAAAACACAATTCGTCGGGAGTAAAAAAAAAATATGTATGTATTTTCTACATATTAGTAGACTATCTATTTATAATCGATTGAATAACCCCCCGGAACCCTTAAATTGTCACATTTTTCGGGGGATCAGCCCCATGGACCACTATCGATACATTTTAATTGACATCCGACCACGTCTTTTTCCTCTCGTCGGGGAACTTGCCCCCCACCCCACAAAAAAATCATACCTTACCCTTCATCCCCACACCCCCGAGGCTTTCGCCGCCACTAAACACTGGAATGGAAGTTATTTGAATTCCAGGGGTGGCGCCAGGATTAGCCCGACGAGGGTAGGGGGGGGGGGGGCGAGGTCCTCGGCGAAAACAAAGTGGGCGTAGTAAAGCTTTGATTAAAAGGTTTCGAAAGTTTTCCTGGGGCGAAGCCCCCGAAAACAATTTAGGGGTTTCAAAGTTTTTAATCGATTTTATAGTTTACTAATATGTACAAAATACATATAATATTTTTTCTCCCCGACGAATTGTGCTTTTTCTCCCCGAAGGGGGGGGGGGCGCAGCTCTCCCTGACGGGGTCCCTGCTCTGCTTCTCAAATATTTTCAGGTGGTGACCCTTTGGCATATATCTCGAGATCACAAGGCTATTGTCATAATGTTTGTGTTTATTACTAGGCCTACAAATTCCCGTTAGTATAATTTGATAACCATAGAACTTGCCTCCTAATTTATCAGGTAAAGATATGTACGGTCTATCGTTTTATCTCTACAGTCAATCTCGGCAAAGTTGAATACAAATTGGCTGAGATAAAAATGTTCATTCGTTTTTTATTTAGTGCAAGAAGCATTTGTTATCGTCGATAGTGTGCGGAATGTTTCATTTCCATAGTATAACGAATATTTCCTACACTCGTAATTTTGAATTTGATTGGGCAAAAATAATTGAAAAAAATCTGAAAGTATTTGTCATTGTGTATCAAAAAGTCTGTCCTTTTTGTCAGAAACAGTCTCGCGACCCTCAGAATGTTTTCGCAGCCCAAATCTGGGTCGCGACCAATAGCTTGAGAAGCAGGTTTCTAAATAATAGTCTAAATAATGACAACAACAATCATATTATAATGTCGATTGGGCATTCATATCGACAAGCATAATGTTGATTGACAACAACATGAAAAACGGCACTGAAGGCGTTCCATAACCGTGGGACACGTACCAAGTTTGCAATCAACCAATAAGAAGTTAGAGAAAAGAATGAAACTTATTAGAATATTGGCTTGGAATTTCCCATTGGCTTAGAATTCCCCCGAAATTTCGGCTATAGAAGGCAAACACGAACATGTTATCATCGTCGTCATCATAATTACCACAGCCAGATTACATTCGCATCGCAGGTGAATCCCACAGCTCTCACCTCATTTGTTGGACAATTCCTTTTACCACAACTTGATGTATTGTGTTCATGAAAACATATGCATAGTGACAAGTTAATACATAGTCCTAGACCTACCTTTCAGTGTCATAACTAGGGGTGCACGTCGGAGCAATCTCCCCCCAAAAAAACTCTCTCCCTAAGCTTCCTCTACCCTTCCCCCGCCCCCAAGGCTCTCTCTAGTCTTCCACCATTGGAAATGTTATAAAAGTAAAAAAAAAAATCACTCTGAAGCACACCACCTTATATGACCTTACTTCACCTTCGCACTCATTCATCCCAAAATTCGCACCCCCATCTTCACCATCTCATCCCATCTCAATCGCACCCCCTCCTCAACCGTTCAAGGCTCCTAGGTACGTCACTGACCTTTGAATAGATTTCGGGTGGATTTGGAGATTGACTCTTCCAACTGACTCTGCGTACGCCACTAATATATTTTTTTGCTAAATCCGTGCTTAAATTAATACCATACGCCCTATATCTATCATCACGAGACTCAACCAACCAATAAAACTACAATAATTAACATATGCTGGAATTTCCCATTGACCTGGAATTTCCAGATATTTGTTAAATATTAAAATGACCAACAGAAATCATTAAAAAAAATTGTAATCACTTGCTTATTTTTAAGTAACATACAAATTATTACCTTAATCATAGAAATTACTGAATTAAAAAAAATTGTACCCTAATTGTTATACTTGATTGATAATTTATAAATGGAAGTCAGTGTTTTTCAGCGACCCCTGATCACGAGGTTTCTGCTCAAGCGTCATCAACGCACTTGCACTACATAATCTGTAATCAGTGATTCCTTATCTGAGTTGTCTTTGTCTCCCAGTGCTTGTATAATATTAAATATTAACTATTTGATAACATCATGACTGTTATCTAGGCATATTTTGCCAACTTGTTGAATCATGGGCACAAAATTTTCCATGTCTAATAAATAGAACAGTAAACACGTATTACAATATATGCCTCCGTTAAAGTTAAAATTATTTTACATGAATCAGAATTGGATGTGCACGAAAAGCGGTTTCACTAATATAAACATAAACACATTGTTTTGATATTTATATTTGTAATTTTTAAAAGCACAATGAGGCCTACATACGCCTCACAAAACATGAATTCATTATCACTGTATGTTGTGGAGCAATTGCACAGGGAGCCTGCAATTGGTAAAGGAGGGCCGGGAATTGGGCGTTTATGAAAACCTGTGGGAACAGTGGAGAAAGCGAGAGGATAAACCATGAATGACATGACAACGGCAAAACAGGTCGCCACGGAGACAAACTGCCAGCTGTCGTCCAATGCCAGTCCCAGGATTTGACCAACGACGAGGGGTGAGGCGACTTTCCAGATCCGGGCTTATTGCCAATATCTCTAACGAGAGCAAAAATGGGCTGGGTCTGGATCCGCTCAGATTAATTTCAATATCAATTTTCAATTTCAAAAGGCATTTTATTTACTTCCATAGAACACACAGAATATACAATACAATGGTTTAAAATAAAAACGTAAACAAGCTATTGAAGAAGGCATGATCCCGAGAAGACAAAGATCTTGTGATGGACATGCCTTAAATGAAATAAAGGTCGATACAAACATAAAAGAAGAAAGTCAATGAGAACACAAATAAACAAATAAGTGCAGAACCAAATAAACAAAGATGGAAATATAAAAATAAATAAATAAACAAACAAACAAACAAATGAAGCTCATATATATTGCAGAACATATTGAATCATGACTGAGGATAATTAATTTAACATTAGATGAAATTTCATTTTTGTATGTTCTTAGAGAAACAGCATTTAGAATTACGTTGTTGGGTCTGAGTATCTAATATTATGTCGAAAATAATTAGTGTTATGGATGTGAATATGAGTTTTAAATCGATTGGTTTAATTATGAGTAGAGTGTTGGGAATAAACATATTGTATACATTTTTAGGAGATTACATAACAGAGAAAATAAATTTACTTTGCTGGACAAGAATAATGTTCGTCAGTTTGAAGGGATATAATTTGGAAATAAATGGGAAGAATGAGACCGTGGTGCGTCATCTATGATCCTGATAGCCTTTTTTTTTTTTGGAGAATTTGGAGTTTGTTGATATCGGATAAATGTGTATTGGCCCAGACAATGTTACAGTAGCTCAGATAAGGAAGGATGAGGGTGCCGTAAAGAATACGGAGGATGTTATTGGGTAAAATGGCTAATCTAGAAATGTTACCAATGCTTTTGGATGTTTTAAGTTAAGTTCCTAAACATGTTAGAGTATATTCTGAAAAAATCCATAGAAGGCTTTTCAGTTTAGGATATGAATAACTTTTTTAATTTATTCATTTATTTATTATTATTATTATTATTATTATTATTATTATTATTAT